CCTTGCCTTGCCTTGCCTTGCCTTGCCTTGCCTTGCCTTGCCTTGCCTTGCCTTGCCTTGCCTTGCCTTGCCTTGCCTTGCCTTGCCTTGCCTTGCCTTGCCTTGCCTTGCCTTCCTTTGCCTTGCCTTGCCTTGCCTTGCCTTCCTTTGCCTTGCCTTGCCTTGCCTTGCCTTCCTTTGCCTTGCCTTGCCTTGCCTTGCCTTCCTTTGCCTTGCCTTGCCTTGCCTTGCCTTCCTTTGCCTTGCCTTGCCTTGCCTTGCCTTGCCTTGCCTTGCCTTGCCTTGCCTTGCCTTGCCTTGCCTTGCCTTGCCTTGCCTTGCCTTGCCTTGCCTTGCCTTGCCTTGCCTTGCCTTCCTTTGCCTTGCCTTGCCTTGCCTTGCCTTCCTTTGCCTTGCCTTGCCTTGCCTTCCTTTGCCTTGCCTTGCCTTGCCTTCCTTTGCCTTGCCTTGCCTTGCCTTCCTTTGCCTTGCCTTGCCTTGCCTTCCTTTGCCCTGCCTTGCCTTGCCTTGCCTTGCCTTGCCTTGCCAGCCCGGCAAAGGCAAGCCCCTTGCGCTCCGCAGCTGCAGCAGGCAGGCTTTCCACAGGCAACTGTGGCGCGCTCTGCCCTCACATCCTTTGCAACAGAGAGACGTTTTGCCGCCAAAAAGCCCCTTGCGCTCCGCAGCTGCAGCAGGCAGGCTTTCCACAGGCAACTGTGGCGCGCTCTGCCCTCACATCCTTTGCAACAGAGAGACGTTTTGCCGCCAAACAGGAGTGCTGCCAGGTCACTGTTTCCCGGTGCTGCTCTGGCAGAGAGGTCTGGGTGTGCAGGTCCTGCTGGACATCTCGGGTGCAGCCCTGCTCCCGGGGGGGGCTGGTGTCACAGCTGGAGCAGGGGATGGACACACCAGCCCCCCACAGCTTCCCGGGCAGTGGGGCTGCTCCTCAGGCACCCTAACGTACTATTTAACCCACGGCCATGCATACCCCGTGCAGGGCGCCCAGGCACAGAGCCCAGGGGCTTGGGTCAGCAGGAGCTGTGGTGCCCATGGGGCAGACATGGCCCTACCTGGCCCAGTGCTCCCAGCTCCTGGCTTGCTGAGGCAGGGCTGGGAGAGGCCGCAATGCACCCCAAGCAGGGAGAGGGCATCCGAGGGCAGAGGCAGATGAGTACCAATTACGTGGCATGAACAAAGCCTGTCCTTGCTCCTGGTTCAGCCATAGAGTGCCGTGCTGCCGCAGGCTATGCACTCAGCAGGGATGAGACCTCCTCTGATGCAGCCAGCGGGACCACGCGCAGGGAGACCAGCCGGCCCCTCTGCAGAGCACAGCTCCCTATCCCTGCCCTCCCCTCTCCCAGGCCCGCTATCCCACCTCAGTCCCTGCCGGTGGACATCTCCTGACATGGATGCTGAGCCTCAGAGCACCCTCCCTGTCACCCAAGGAGATGAGCAACTGGTGTGGGTCAACCAGCAGGTCTCTTGAGCATCCTTCCTCCATCTCTCACGCTGTTACCTGTGTGTACTCCCCCAAGCTCTCCCCACACAGCATCTCGGGGCACACAGTGCAGCCCCAGAGCCCCCCAGCAGGTGGGTACCGGCCGGGCTCCCGGCTATGCCCACGGAGGAGGCGAGCCGCCTTCTGAAGTGCCGCAAGGAAACCATGCAACCAGATTCACGTAGCAAGTGTCTCTTCAGCGGGTTTGCCCCTATATATAGGTGCATCTACTGAATATATACATGTCTTAGCAATAGTATACTGGAAACTGTGCCACGCGTGACTTGATGGTGCTGAACTAATGCGTGCAAAAGTACAGAGGGATCCATGTACCCTCTAAGTACAAAGTTCCTCCTGTCCAGCCACAGGAGGGTCTGATTTTGGGGCATGACAGGTAACCTGCCAGGACTCCTGGGGAGCACGTGGCTTTGGCACCTGCCCAGTTTGCTCACGGAGCTGCAGGATCCGGGAGGACGGACTGGTGCCAGACTGCTGCAGGATGCTCAGGGTGGCAGAGTTCAGCCCAGGCGCTTCAGCCGAGCTGTGATTCCCGGGCCGAGAGCTCAGGAGAGCCAGGGTGCCCACTGCTCCATGCCCCCAGGCTGTTGCAGGCTTGGGCATCAGGCAGCAGCTGGCGAAAGCTCTGCTATGTGCATTCCTCTCATGGCAGGTGAAGATGTGGGTTAACCCTGGGAGTGGAGGATCTGGAGATTTCCCCTTGGAGGTGAAAGGCACTAACATCCTGCCACTGGCTGCCACGCAGCACCCGTGGGGCATCCAAAATGCACTTCATGGGCAGTTGAGCAGCTCTGGAGTGTCTGTGGTCAGTGAGAGGAGGTCCCCTCAGCATGCCTCTTGCTGGGGCTGGCATGCCTGCTCCTCCCCAGCTGACATGGAGGAGCCACGGCTGAGCAGGCTGCCCAGCAGCTGGGTGAGGAGCCAGGAGTGCTGTCAGGCTTCTCCCTGTGCAACTGGGGTCTAGCAGGCAGGTATGGGGCTTCCTGCCTCTCCGTGTGGCATGTCCAAAGCCCAAAATGTCCGGAGAGTTTTTGTTTTCACCCTGTAATTGCACAGCCCACTGTGAGCTAGTGGCAACTCCCAGCTCCTCCTCAAGCAGGTAGTGGCTGCTGGACAGTCCCTGCTCCAGCGGGCATGTACCCGCAAGCATCCCTTCCCCAGGTGCCCGCACACAGGCCAGGAGCTTCCTCACAGAGAAAGTCCAGCTGACATTCCTCCTGTCTGACCGGGGGAGAGAAGCCGCTCTGTCCCGGTCATCGTCACCAAGAACACGCTGCGCCAATAAATAACCCTCGTCTCAGCCCGTGTCGCTCCTGGGCTCGTGTCAGCAAGCGAGCGGGAGGTCCGAGTTGTCCCATGCCATGTCTCTCCTTGCTGCCCTTGGGGTTTTCCTCTGAGGCTTCACTGTACAATGAGAACAAGACCAGCTGCCCGGGTTTTATTTCTAAGTCCGAGTGAAGTGGCTTCGGTTTGCGTATGGGGCTCCTCTGGGGATGGGGAGGGATGGGGACCGGGCTGGGGGGGACCAAAGGGTCATTCTTCACTGGCT